CCAGTATTCATTCTATCATTCATATATGCACTGTTAGATGTTAATTAACATCATATTACGTTAGCCACAATCCAGTGGTCAAGTAGTTTGCCTTCTAAAAGTGACCTTGAATTAATTCCAAGACGCAGCTATCACTTTTTGTAGACTCGTGTATTTATTTTCCTTCCGACGGCGATGCCCCGGTAGTGCATTACGAAAAAAATTTATTTAAAATGCGCGATATGTGAAATTTTATTTTTGTGTTCGACTTATGCCTACTTTCATCCTTTATTTAAGCCTTGAGCCTTAAGCAGGGATAGATAAAATAGTCTAACAAATATCTGCCCTCGGGAGTGGCACTGTTACTGTGATCCCACCATAGGTAATAGATATTTTTATTTTTTCAATTTAAAGTGTTGATGATTATAGATCATAAAATAAAAAGTTAAAATACCTTTTTGGTGTTTCTCGCTGCGTTGACCAGATATGAGCCGTGTGCCATGTTGGACCAGTCCAAAAGCAGTACGTTGGTGTTCGGCCTCGCCTCCAGGTATGCGTTCACCATCACCTGCCCACATTTATTGTCAGTTGAAATATCCAAAGTTCAAGAAGATTCAGTTAAGTTATAAACATAAAGTTATACACTTCTAATTCGATTTGTCACCACATCTGGGAGATTCGTGTAATTTCTCGTTGTAAAACTATCATTCTCGTTTTCAGCGTGACATAATTTAATCATATAATTCATAGATATACATACGAAAGGTGTATTTAAGTTGCACAAGTAAGTTGACCTCAAGAGTTATTGTGAAACTAGTTCTATTAAAAATTTTCCATTCGGCAATGGTACCAAATAGAGCGTAGTATGCAGTTGTTATATTTAGACGTAACTTTAATAGACTTGTTAGAAAGAAGTCCCGAAACGTGGCATGAATATTAAACTTTCTAATCTAATGTGCATGTACATGTTTAAATATTGTCAAGAGCATTTCCATTTGACGGTATACAAAGAAATAAAAATGCTCCAAACATGCATAAATAGTAAACAATTTATAAAACCAATAAATCGAATCTATTCTACTAAATTGTAAGAGATCGACATGGAATAAAATACATAAATGCCTGCAACATCTTTATTCTCAGAAAATATTAATCTGCCGTCTGTCCGGCAAAAAATGTATCGATCGAAACTCAAAGTAAGATAAAAAGGAAGCCATACTGATGAGCTGATCTCCTAATTACCTGGATACTTTCCTGCTGCGCCGTCTCAATGAAGCCATGGATGTAAAGGACGGTAGCGTTGCTCCTGTCGAAGCCTTTGACGTCGAATAAGTCGACGGCTTGGCTCAGCGGTATATCTATGTATTCGTGCGACGAACTTCTGTAACAAAGATGAATTGTTAATTAAATATGATCATTTGTCGAAATTATTCCAGATATATTGCTGTATATGAATTAACATAAATTTACAATATTCCATTGTCACGTGGGCTAATAAAGAAATGATAGAGAATTGAAAACATGAGAGTTTTTAAAAACATTTTTTAAAGTGTAAAATGTAAATATTTCATACCCGTTGTAATAGCGGAGATAAATGTCTTCAATTCGGTTTGCTCTGTCAGGCAAGATTCCTGTAAAAAAATAAAATGGATAAAACAAAATACTTAATAGCTGACAACTTCACATTAACACTACATCAAGACAAATACAATTAAAACAACGGAAAGTATATATTTAATTACACAACAGTTAAACGGTTCGGCGTGACATTCCGACATTGTTCATTGTGCTAAAATGATTTTAGAATATACCTCTTATTATGATTTAAATCAATTTTGTGAATATTACTTTAAACGTGAGCATGAATTTCGTATGTTAATTAAATTTAAAATTTAAATACTGCGTTTATAAATAGATATGAAAGGATTGAATTTATAAAAAAAAAACAATGTTTTAAAATATTTATCACTATGTAACATTAAATATTGTGCTAATAATATTGCGTTTAACAAACTAGATTGCTGCATTTCGGATACGGCAATGATACAAGAGAAACGACATACGTATAGATTAATCGTAAAAAACTGAATAAACCAGAAAATTAGTGCTATTAAGAGTATTTATAAAATAGGATATACTAGGAAGATATGCATACCATTATTTCCATTAGCATTTAAAACCTCGATATCTTTATAATGTACATAAGCTAAGACATACTTCGAGGGAAACAACAGTAAGGTTACGTATAAGTGATGTCGACTGACCACCATGATTGTTGTTTTTTACCTTATACCTTGAATGTTGCATTTATAATGCGAGAAAATTGCTTCTTAAGGCATTACCATACTAGTGATGTTTATGTACTTACTAAAGATTTAAAAGATAGGACTTTTCACTATAACAATAATATAAATTGTGTTAGCACATAATTTTGCAATTTATTAACTTTTTTGAGTAGAAAACACCCTTAAAAAATAGAAGTTGTCTTAGTGTTGATTTTGTAGTTGTCTTAATTTCAAATTGTGAATATGATTGTTTTGTTTATTTTTAAATAATTTGAATCGAAATATCTAACAATTTATTTTTATAAAATAAACATTTCAAAATTACAGTTTAGTTTCCTTGTATAATTTACATGTAGTCACGGAAAACTTGCAATGTCAATGTTGGACTTTGTACGCGCACGAAAACCTAACCAAATGAGTTTTTTTCTCGATTTACACAAAGGTAGTTTTTTTAACTTGTATGTATTCCATTGTCAATGCCTGGCAAGGGTTTTCTCTTGAGTTTTTTGTTTGCTTTCTTTCTAATAATTTGAATTAATTTTTTTGCGCTATTGCTGCTTGGCAATGTAAAACGAATACTTCATATTCAAGTAACGACCACTTATATAATTACTATGTTAAGCACGTATGTATACATTATATCTATAATTCAGGAAATTCTTCTGTCACGATAGCTACTGTATTCTGAGAATTCGCTATTAAAATTTTATTTCTTCTAATGAGGAGACGCTTTTGTATTCAGTGAAGTGATCTCACAGATTTTAAATTGTACCATTTGAAAGTGTTTAATGCATTTTTTAATCTAAAAAAATAAGTGTTTACTTTAAATTTCGCGGCCCGGTTTAATGCGGCTAACGGGCGCATTTTCATTCTCCGGTACCGTACTAGGGGTAGATTTGAATCCCTCTCCGGTGCGGATGGTCGCGGGTCTGCGGATAGAAGAATCGTGTGCAAGCAGTCAAACGAGTCGGTCGGTTAAAAAGTGCAACTACAAAGGTCAACACGAAAGACACAACGGGCCTGTCATTTTCGTTATCGAACGGGGTCGATTGAATTATATTACGATGAAGCCCTCCGGTGCATACTTAGTCTCCGTGCTGCCGTTCTGAAGATAAATTCTAACAAACTCTAATATCCATGCAATTTTTTTTAGGATAATATTAAGATATGCTCATAAAATTATGTGAATTGAAAAAGGAAAGTCTATTTAGTAATAATGTACCTATCAGATGAAACATTGGAATGTAAATCAAGTTGCATATTTTTAATCAATAGAAGTTACTTAAATGATAATGCCAAAAGCTCGTTACTACGGACCAGGATAAGGAAAGTTAGCTACTTCGTCAGCTGCAACGTGTTTCTCTGAGCTTACAAACGTGACACAATTAATTCTGCTGTCTGTTTCAGTAAAACGTGTCCGTTTAGTTGTCTCTATACAGCTCCTATCTCTGATTATGACAAGGATTGACAGCTAATATTAAATAGTCGTCTGTATTTTTTCTCTTAGAGTAATTTTATGTTATGAAGTAATAAATTGAATTTGGATGGCGGCTAAGGGAGGACGATGAATGTATGGACTGTGTGAAAGAGGATGTGTAACTAGCTATTCCCATGCGTCTTCATCCGCATAAAATTATAAAAATTTCATTTCATTATTTACATTTGTCAAATTATCAATTGCAAATGTCAAAATGACATGACATCAAGCCATAGCAACCTTGACTCCTTGATTTTGGCAGTAACTTATGGTCTCTTTCCCACATTAGGGTTTTGACTCAAAATATTTACCCCTAAGTTTGGCGTGAAAATGTATAGCCTAAAGCGTAAGGTAATAGTAGGGCTTTTCATTATAAAAATAGTTATTCAAAAATATTCTGATTACAGCATATTTTGCTGACATTTTAGGCAACAAAGATGTGTGTGTTTACGCTTTATTAAAGTAAAATAGATTTTATATTATTGCTTTATCTAGTGTTACTTGGGATAGTGTACAACAAGACATTTCATAAACGTAAATCAATAGACGTACTGTATTTAAATCTCTGGCCTAAATTCTGTGTGACCTAGATGCTGAGACTAACGCAGATTACGTATCTGGAGCTGGAAAAACATAAATAAAGAACAGCTTACGTAATAAGTAGTGACTTATATTTGAAGTGCTTTATACAATGCAATCTTAGATCTAGTTAGATGAATTAACATTCATTATGTTATCCGCCTACCTCTTTTCTAAATGATAATAGGAATTGAAGATCGGCACATGTTCTTTTCTTTCATATAAATCTGACGAACAGCCGTCTAATATGATTTAGGTCTAATTTGTTTCACAAGTTGTTCGATCTTCCTCTATGTAAATATGTTCATTCTTCAAGTAAAATCTATAAAAACACCTACACAGCTAATTATATAAAATTGCGGTCGGTTCAGATAGTAAGTATGTCAAACTTTAAAAGTAAAATTCCTAACCTGTGATAAGATATTTAAAAGTTCAGCCCACGCCTAAAAAAATTCGCTTTCAATGATTCCAAACGGAGTTTTCATAATATATTAACGTCGTTCGCATAACGATCAAACTTCACAGAAAGTGTTAAAAATATTTGCTTTCAAAACGCAAAACTTCCAACTTTTTTCTGTATATCGCCTCCTTGGAATCGTTAACTAGTTCGTGCGATTCTTTTGCGTTCTATAAACTTTTTAACAGGGTCCTAATAAATTGTTGAAATCCAAAGAATTGTGGGACTGGATCATTTATTTCCTCGTACAGAGTACTTTTACTGAGTCAACTTTTATCCAACGAAATTGTTTTATTTTCAAAGGTTTTTATTTGCTTTTACGGTTTAGTTATGATTTAAGTTGGGAGGTTGGTACACTTGTTAAGGATGGTAATTGACATTTTTATCCTAATCAGTAAAAAAAATTGGTAGCTAAAGCACAAATCAAAGGCTCACGGGGATTGGCTATAAGAGATTCCCATAACTAAAAATACGTAGACGATGAATCTCGGCAACTTTGGGTAAATATTTATAGAACAAATTAAATTGTACGTTTTTTTTTATTTTTACAGCTACATTTTCGTGCGTAAAATTGGATGAATATAGTTCAATTTACGCAAACCGGCAAAACATACACTCACATTTGTCGGTGCTCGGTGATTCATTGCTAGCCGACGTAAATTATTAGCAGCTACACTGTTGCAACGAAATACGTTTGATACGGCAAACCAAATTACACAAAATGCAATATCCTGCATCGAAATACGTGGATTTTGTTTTGTCATCTTTTTAAATGCTGCAATATCGGTTCGAATTGGAATTTTAAGGTTTAAAATTTGAAATGAAAAAAACGATTTTTTAATTGAAATATAACCTGCTTGATGCACTTAGTTTGGATTTTAAACCTAGGAACATACTAGTAAGAATCCTTCAACAAAAACCTTCAAAAGCAAATAAAAATGTTACCGACTACATTATACTCGTTAGCGACAACATAATTTGAAGAACCTTGGAGGTATAATATTTTTGCATTCACTCATTACTTCTATTTTGTGTAGTCATGTATGTTCTGTTTTGTGTCTAGTCTATATTTATTGATTAAATACAACTTAATCTATAATCTAGCAACATATTTTGATATTAGTTACTCAAGATGAATTATCGACCTCTGTCTTTTTCCATTATTACGCACAATTTAAATAACGAAATGTTTACTGAATTCATTTCTCTCTATTTATTCAAAAACATTAAATTATATTTATTAAAGTTTTAGTTCTTACTTTGGCTAGAAAAACATGCAATTAGTGTTCTGGGAGCGGCGCGCCGCGTAGCGTCCGCATGTTCAGACTGACCGCTGCAGGGGAACATTTTCTGAATACTGATTACTTCGGAGAGGAATTGAATTGAAAACGTTGTGTTTAATTGACTTTTTTATACTTTGCTTCGTATTTAATGATGTATTTAACACATAGGAACTAATTTAAATTAATAAATTTGAGTTATATAATGTAGGTAGCTATCACAAGAACTTTCCTAAAGCTTTCATTCGTTTCTCCTACGTTAGCTAATTCTTACGAAAGTTTTAATAATTCATTACTACGAGATATTTTAAAACGATCGCTTTAGATATATGATTAGTTCTATGTAAATCATGATTGCCTGATTTATTGATTTTCTTGTTTTTATTCTGCATTTTGTGAAATATACTTCAAAATTACTAAGTCTCATTATTACCACATTCTAAAACATACAAATGGCATTCTAAGTATTTCTAACACGAATGCAGGTGGAGCATTTTGCAAATATTTGATCTGAAGCTCGGGAAACAATTCAGTGCAATATCCATTGTATTGT